AGTAGTTTGCAGGAAAACTGACTGGTTGAACTCTGCTGGCTATACTCCTTGTTTTGAGCTTCTAACCAAAAGACAATACATCAAGGATGTCCCTAATCTTCCCCATTAATGCAAGTATTATAGTTGCCACAGGCATCTTACTCAATTATCACTGGAACTGAAGGTGATTCATGTGACTGAATAAGAGAGGAGGGTTATGACATAATCTGTCTTCTAAAAGAGGCGGGTGACTTGTTGAAAAAGCTTACAAATCACCACTCTAACTGACTGCCAGGTTTCTTTTCCCAGCTCCTCCACCCTCCACAGCCCACTAGGAGATCCATGGTATTAGTGACAAATTTCTGTGCAACAGCTTGCTGATCAACTTCAAAAGTTGGTATTTTTTGTTTTAAAACTAGCGGTGTTGGAGATTCTTTGAGCTGAAACTGAAACAGCACATGAGGAGAACATAAACTGGCCTGTATTCAATTTTATTATCTAGCATATGGGCTTGCTTTAAGGGGCTTACTTTTACAGCCTATGAAGATTCAGCTAAAAGTTCTGTTACAGAAACTTCTGAACAGAACATCTGTACGGAAGTGCTATACAATGGTTGTAGTTCTGATAATAAGTTGCATTCTGAATTGTTTCCTCTTGAAATAACATGCAAGAAAACATAGTAGTCCATGCTTACCAGTCTCTGAGAAGGCTGCTGAAAATTAAGATAGCTAACTGAGTTGATCAAACATTTCTTCCCTTTATTGCCATACCCTTTTATATTTTTGTTGATTATCCCCATTTTACAATAAAGCTGTTGAATCGTACTCTGAAGTCCGGTTTGTGTGTGTGTATGTGTGTGTGTCGTGTGTTCTGGAGGAATATTTAAGCCTTTTTCTTGGAAAAGGACTCTGTAATGACTTTAATGACTTGATCATGGAAGTGGTACTTTGACAATTTTGCAGCAGCTACCAATATTATGTCCAAGTTAGAGTAACGAGCATATTCCAGAGATTGGTTTGGAAACTAAAGATGAGAGAAGCTGAAGCAGGTAATGGAATGCAAAAGCACTTTTTTCCCCTATCCTTCTTCTAGAACCACAAGAAACAGTTGATTTGGAATTGTTTGAGGAAACATTTCACGTTAATATCTGATGCAATCTGATAGGCATTAAACTGTATCCAAAATCTCTGTGGAGACAGGTGCTTCAAGACATCCCTTTGCAGCTCCCTTAGGCAAAGTATTTATGACATACTTTGGTATGGTAGACTTTTCATCTGCAGTGCTACTAGCATCAAGGTAGTTTCAACTACCTGGCCTTAGCATATCTTTCTTTCTATTTGGTTATCTGCGTTATCATAAACTTTTTTACATGTCTTATGCAATTTCTCTCATTCTTTCATACAAGAAATATAATTAACAAGAAATATAATTAACATATTTAGCTTTTAATTTGTGGAGCCCAGGTTATGATTATTGGTTTTTAAGGCTGCATCTTCTGAAACAGCATCTCTGTGGAAAATCTTGGTGATTCAGCCTTTCAGTCACGTGGTTACAGAAGTCTAGTGTTTATTGTTTGTGAGCTCTTACACCAACACGAGTGGTCTGTAGTCTTACAACTTTAGTGTTATAGATCCTATATCCAGTTGCTGCTGATACGTGTGATATCTAACTATACTTGCTCAGTTTCTTCTCAGTACTGACTTTCACAACTGCAGAATGCACTCCAACCATCCACAGATGGCCCTGGTTCATATTACATTGTTTTATCTTGTCTTTATGCATGCCACAAAGATTTCCCAAGTCTTAAACAACTGCTGTGTGTCAATCAACCACTTTTATTTAGCAGGTCATTTTCTGTCTACTGTACTTTCCTGTACTTATCTGAGCATTTGCTGGCTGACCTATTGGCAAGGTTGATTTTTTTTTTTCTTCCCCCTTTTCTATTCACATGGGTGTGATTCACTAGGTTTTACATGGGTATTGAGTATTGGGCTTCCAGCAGAGGATATTTCACAGTCACTCAGTGCGCCAGACATCATCGGAGGCTATACATTTGGTAAATGTGAGTGTAGTAAAATATCTTATTTGTGATTTGACATTGAACTAATTCTTAATTACTGATTATATAAAATGTTGAACTCTGTTTTACATTTATGACAGATTGGTTATGTAAAAATGTGTTGGCAGTAATTTAACTCACTGTGCCTCTAAGGCTGGGGGTGAATTGGTTACACAAGTGATTACAGGTATATTTCTTAAATCTAGCCTAGGAAAATAGCAAATGACAGCAGGAGAAAGGGTGCAAAATCTACCTCGATGAGGCTGTCTTCATCACTAGTTTTTGTCATTAAGAGAATATTCTCCTGCCTAGCAGTGTGCTGCTCTTCCCTGAATACTTGATGTTTTAGGTGCAGGAAAGTCTCCCCTACTGTTGTGTGTGAGCTAGAGACATACTGGGTAAGGCGTGTGGGCGCTCCATTGAGAAAATTCATTTAACAGTATGTAATGGAGTTTTAACCCTAATGGAAACATAGCCACCAAGGCTAAAGATTTTGGATTGTAAATCACAGTATAAGACTTTGCTCTGCAAGTGGAGTAACAACCGAGACAGAATGGCTGGCAGTATGATTGAGGTTGCATAGCCAAGGTCAAAGGATTATCTAGGCAGACGTACAGAAAGGCATGTTGGTTACTTATGAGGATTCCTTATTTTCATTATAGTACTACAAAAGTTTATAAGGAATGAACTTGAAGACTATATGAAGTGACTGACGAATCAACTTTTAATACAAAGGGGCTAAGTTAAACTGAAGATGATTGTTTTATAAACATGGGGCGGGGGCGGGGGGGGGGGGGGGTGTGTATGTTGGGGTGTGTGGGTGCATGGTATTTTTTTAATAAAAGGAGAAGGCTTGAAAAAATTATGCTGAGATGTTAGGAAAGATGGAAAGAAACGTTAGGACACAGAAATTCTAAAAAAATTAAAATTAATTTGGAGAGGACAAGGGAATAAAGTCACTATTCCTTTAAGGGCATTACGTACTTACACAGTGCCCCTGTAAGTACACCTACATGTGCCACTGTAAAACTTATTAATTGGTCTGCAACTTCGATTGTGTATGTTATGCACTCAGATGTGCATATTTAGAGCCATTTCTGTGAGCTCTTGAATCTTAGTTGGACCTACTATAAACCAGTCAAAAGCTAGTGAGAAAAGTATATTCTGAGTATAGTTAAGATATTCTTCTCTTGAGCAGCGCACATAAGGTGTGGAGTGGCATTCTGCACGTTCTGTTCTTCAGTGCTTGTTAACCCTCTAAACCAGGGAATAAGGACCAAGCACAGGGAATTAATAGGCAATTCTGGTTAAGCAGGGCCTTGCATCCACGCTAAAGGACATGATTAAAACGTAAGAAGTGCCTGATACATGGGAAAACAGTATAAATAATCGGACACAATTCAGCGTAGACTGGTGCAAGGTTATACAGGAACAATGAGTAAACACAGGATGAAGATGCTAGCTAAATGAGAGCGTTTTTAAAAAAGGATCTGGAAGTTGTGTCTTAGGCTGAAAATATATCAGTGTTTACTATATGGCTTTCATGAAAAGAAATATGACCCACAGGTCTGTGAAAAGGGTTTTTCCACCTTAGCAATTTTCAGCTAAAGTCCTGTGTCTACTCTTAGGCACTTAATTTCAAAAGAAGTCGAGGAACAATTAGTGAAGACAAACCAAAAGAAAGCAACAAAACAGGTCTTGAAAAATTAACCTGTGAAGAAAGGACAGAAGAACATGTGTTTGTTTAGCTCGAAGAGGGACCCGCTGATTAGATCTCTATCTACAGATAGTCTTAAAATATGTAAAAAATTTCTGAAGTGAAGGACCTTTTCTTTTGTCCATGGTGATACGATAAGTAGGAGCAGGTTGAAGTTGAAGAGATGATGATGCAGGTTAGACATTAAGAAAAAGCGTTCTAATGATGAGTAGCTAAGAAGTAGATTGTATAAGGGGAGGCTGTTTAATTCATTTCTGGAGGACTTTAGGAGTAGGCAAGACAAGAATATTGCAAATAATCATCTGTCCTAGGATGGAATAATGAACCAGCTGATCTCTTCAGTCCTGTTTGTTGGTGTCTTTGTAAGTCTCTCAATTCCTTTCAAAAATATCAGAGACAAGGGTGCTCAGTTCCTGACAGCTCAGCTCATAAAGTTGCCACACTTACATCTAGTTCAGCACCTTATGGCTTGAAAAGTGTCTTTTAGCTTTTGCTTGGATAAATATTTGATTTCTTGATTTGCATTAATTAGCAACATATTTATTTTCATCATCTATTTTACATTTGGGCCTGTAGACCTCAGTGGAAATCAAGAAGCCGTGGATGTATTTAATATTAAAAACCAAAATCATATTCACAAATGTTCTGTTGAAAAAGAAAGGACAGTTGGGGGCAAGATTATAATTATATTGGTGCCATTGTACAAGCAACTATAAATGAGTAGTCAGCTGCAGACTAGTGTAGCTGAAGAGAACTTGGTGAAGTTGGATTCTTGAGTAGTGTCTGCTAAGAATTTTATAATTTAAATAATTTGTTAACTGCTAACAAAAAAAATTATACTTTTCTTTCAGTAATTTCTAGGAATAGTATAATACATACAGCATTTTTTACCATTTAAAAATAAACACCAAGATTCCTTGACTTTGGCAAAAGGCTGTTGAGACCAGATATATCAAATTAAATGTTTTTTGTCTTGATAAGATGGCCCTTCCCAATGAAATGATAATTTGCTAGAAAACATCAAATCTATTCCTATACCATTCTTGATTGCCGGAAATGAGTAAGTATTCAAAATCCTGCTAAAAAAAGCTTAATGCATATGAAATAAATGGGTTTGATCTGTAGACATATTTTTGCATGTTTTTTACATTATAACAACCACTTAATTTATATCAATTTTTATTAACTATTGCTTAAAATTTTAATATTAACTGTAAAAATTCTCATAGCACTTTGTTTCCCCAGTCACAGGTGAATCATCATTCATCTAATAATGAAACCTATCAAGAAAGATTGGCACGATTAGAGGGTGATAAAGAGTCGCTCATACTGCAGGTATGTCTTAAAGAGAACATTGTCTATGTAGTTCATATTTAGTGAATAAAGGCTGAAGTGACAAATGTTAGCAGGTGACCAAATGGACCTGATATTTAATCAGGAACTAAATTATAATTTGTATAAACTATCTGATTGGTTTCATGGTAGGGTAACTGGGTAGAGGAGAGGGGAGTAACAGCAGTAAGAGGGAGAAGAATGACAAAGGAAAAAAACTGACTTAAAAATAATGCTGTGAACTCCCAAGACAATGTTGTGGTAGTGGTTCTCATTTTAGGCTTGCTAGGTTGTACCAGTTGAATTTCTAGGTTCTGCATGCCACCATTTTTAATTAACTGGAAGACTGGCAGGTAGACAGAACTGATATTTTTCCTGCTTTTATACTGTACCAAAGTTGCTTTACATCATCAAAAAGCTTAAGGGTGAGGTAAAGGGGGAAATTTGACAGTATAATGTATGCCTAAGCTCTTCCAGGTTTCCCATTTCTCAGTTTACCAAGCCTGTTTTCAAACAGATCCCCTGTCCCATGTAAGTTTTCCTTCTGGAGAAAATGCGTGTTGTACCACTTAAAATAAAAAGACTTAATTAGGTTTTCTGGATATTTTCACTATTACTAAACTGTACATTACATGCTTTTTAAAACCAAAGCTGGAGATTCTTTAAATGGTCTTTGCATATCCTTTTTCTTTACGCTTACAAAAGCATTATTATAAGCATATATGTTTATACCAAACTTAAATATACTGGGTAGGTGTTCTCCCTACTTTCAGTTACTAGTTTCTGTAAGCATGTTTTATCCTGTATGTCCTGTTTACACTTGTGTTAATTTACTGAGCAGAATTCTCACTGCTGTTGTTAAATAAACAATGAACAGTTTGTGAGACATAAGCTTAGGCTTGGTTGGATTTTTTCATTACTGTTAAAATAAAATTGCTATTACCAAATTTAGAAAAAAAAATCCTGAATGAAAAACAAACTTCTGGCTGGAATTTAAGTGTTCGTGTGTGCTGCAAATTCCCTTTTTTCCGAGAGGGAGTCAGGTCAGAGGAGACAATATTACAACTGATACTTATTAGAACACCTTTTATTAACCAAGTGGTTATTAACTGTTCCAGGCTGCTGCTGCTCAGCAGGTACTTTTCTTGTCTCTGTCCTGCTGACTTTTAGTAACTATTTCCTCATCCAAGCAAACAGGTAACTGTAGAATGCAGCCAGCCAAACTCGCAAAGGGGCTTTTAGAAACCTAGCTAGAGTTTTTCTCAAGAGCAATGCTAGTAAAATCGAATGTAGAAATTGTCTCTCTTTTGCCTTTTACCTGCATCAAATCAAGAGGCTTAGTCAATATTTATGTATTTTTCTATCCCACTGCACAGTATTGCAGTAGAACTCCAAAAACCCCCAGGCAAATAATACAGATGAAAGCCTCAGTCTGATAGATGAACATCAACAACAACAACAAAAAAAAAGGTGCCAAGATGGAGCTGGGGTTAGAACCCGGTTTACAGCAGTTCTGCCTATTCTATCTAGGCAGTCAAATATGAGGAACACGGGCAAATCCCATGCTGAGGTTACACTGGCCTGAGGGAGCCTGCTGGTGCAAACCTCACTCCTGGGCATGACCACTGGCACGAAGGATGAGAAAGTGATAGGAAACAGAGGACTTCTATTCTATAGCTCCTGTTGCATTATGCCAGTGACTGTGGTCCGTAGCTGTAACCTGTAGGGAATATGAGGCTGGGAGCACTGCAGTCTTGCATTAGACTTACTGCAGAAGAAGCACTACAAGGCACCTTGTAGAGGGCACAGTCAGTGCCCACTATCTCTGTCCACCATGTCCGAGTCAAACAGTGCACCTTGAAACCTGCTTCCACTGTTCAGTCTGTAGCGGAGGCTGGAAACGCGACAGCATCTGGGGGAGGCCTTCTTACAGCACAGTGCCTGTGCATAGGAGCTAATGTACTTCTTTAGGTGTTTGGTTTGTTTGGGTTTTTTTTTCCACAGAGATGTTTTAAACCCTTATAACCACTTGATTTTTAGCTAATTGTTCAATATGCCTCACTTTTATAGATATTTACAGAAAATATATTACCTATGGACTGACTCTTGCGGCTGTTGCACTGCTAAGGCAAGATGGACTTGCCAGCATAGCATACACTGGGGTTATGTTCTGTGTGCAGCCTACTGATTCCCTGAAGTGTCTGGCAGATGTGATCCTGAACAGAGGGGAAAATATGAGCTCAAAGTGGCTAATGTGCCTCTCAGCCTAACTACTGGAACATCCAACACATGCTTCTAAAGCTGCTAAGATTTTACTACATTCCTTTGCAGGTCACATTTAACGTACAGAGTTTTCCTTACAGGTTACAATGCTAGTTGGAACCTGATTGACCCTTTAAGCAGAGCTCTTTTTCTTTCTCTGGAACCTGCATCAGACTGAAGGAGAGGATTCAGTTTGTTTCTTCTTGCTTTCTGACCTCACAGGATTTTGGTTTGGGGTGTGTGTGTGCTATCATTCATTTAATGGGAGCAAAACAAGAAAGTAGACAGGCAACGGACTTCCTTGCCAGGAGTTCTCCCCCTGTCCCAACTTGGATGTGTCCCCTGCCATCTGCCTCCACCCACTCCTTCCTATCGTCTTATCCTGCATTCATCTGTGCTCTACCCTACAGCCAACTACTTTTAAGGCAAAAAAATATAATAGTCCTCTTTTTTTGTTTTTTACCAGGCATGCTCCAGGCATGCTTGTCATTATGTTTGCAGGTAAAACAAATACAGATCACCCAGTCTCTCTTTCTGCAGCTTCCCTGAAGTGAACTCAATTGTTCATCGATTGGGTTTTAGAAATGCTGCATAGCGAGTGCATCTTAAAGGTTTCACTTCCACATACTGTACCTTTTTAAAAGTTTTTTTTAAGTTTAAACACCTAAGGTTGCTTTTTTGTTTGACATAACATTTTTCTAGTATAATCAAGACTTTTATATAAATAAATAGTAAAAATTAATATACAGAGTGTATGTGCTGCTTAACATAGGAATTAACACTGGGATTTTTCCACGTCTTTATAAAGTTATCCTGAGTGTAGTTTCTTCAGCTTCGCAAGCTTTGAGTTAGGCTGCTGGGCTTTTCTTATTACACACTCACTGGTCTGTACCACCATTCCCACAGTTCTTTACCAGTATTGCTTATTGTTTCTTTTCCTGGGATTCATTGTCTGTATCTCACTTCTTTTGCTTTCATGTTTTGGCTTGCAAAGCCTGGGAATTTTTCTTGGAATAGAACTTTGCCGCTGCTAAAACATGCCCTTTACTCATTGCATTCTTTTTAACTTCAGAACGCTTTATTGATAGGTAAGCTGTTTTTCTGTTCTTGTAAGAAATAAAGTAATTGGTTGGTTTCCAAATGAACAGTTTTATTGTTTATCCATTTTAGGGAGTGAAATGCCAATGAAACCTGAAATGGCAATGCATGCTCCAAAACCACTTAAAATATTTTCAGTATCCTATGTTCTTGTTAGGGGCTTTCTAATTTTTCAGACTTCTCATGAACTGACTTAGGCTACCTATAGGTAGTCTTCCATCTCTTCTAGAAATGCTCTTTCTTTTTTACATTAAAAGAAAATAACCGTGAGGCAGGGGGGATCAGAGGGTGGGGTTGAAGCAAAATATAGGTAAGGCTGGAAAATTGTCTATCTTTATAGAGCAGGTTGCTGCAGTGCACAAGAGTATTAAACCACTGAGGACTTTAAAAGAGAACTTGCTGTTAAAATGTGCATTTGGATGATAATTGTATAAGGTAATTAAAACTTATTTAGTCAGTTCAGTAGCATTGTGCTTCTCTTCTCAAATTACAGGTGAGTGTTCTTACAGACCAGGTGGAAGCTCAAGGAGAGAAAATCCGGGATTTAGAAATCTGTCTTGAGGGGCATCAGTTGAAACTGAATGCTACAGAAGAAATGCTTCAACAGGTAAAAATCTGGATTGGAAAGCTTCTTGCGTAATCTTTTCCAACAAAGGGGTGAACATATATGGTCAGCTTGTCTGCATGTATGAGTGCCTTTGGCCACAGGATAAAAAAAAAAAAAAATTTTTTTTTTTTTAAATAAATGTCTCTTTGTTTTCCTCTTGCAGAAAATTTTACTGGCTGGTTGCATAATAGCATACGTGGCGGCATGTAAAATGAAACTATTGTGTCTTATTTGTACTGTGCTGACAAACTAAATTTGGGCATGGTTGAGTAACTGGTTAGACGGGTTAAATGTATTTAATATATGCAGGAGTTATGGAATTAAGAAATTTTATTTAAACATCTTCTGTTCTCATATGGCTTTGAAGCTGAACAAGTAATAAGTTGAAATAAATGACTGTATCAGGTTTGGTTCTATAACCATCTTTCCTTAATTTAGGAGCTTTCCCCTTATTTTTGAAAGAAAATTAGTATATAAACACAGGTTTTTCTTTATTTCAATCAACAGTTTCAGGCTATGTGATTTAATTTTTGCTCTTTCATGTTATATGTTAAGGGAGCAGAATAAATGATAAATACCTTACTGTAGAGCTGGCAGCTCTGTCGGTGCAAAAGAACTTTCCCAGTGCAATTTTCTGTTATTACAGATGCAGATCACCCGCTGGTAAGACAGTACATAGCTATCAAAAATATATTTGAAACTGTAAATAACCCTCAAAATTTACAACAGAAATTTGCAGGATAGATATTGTTCTTGATGAACTTAATTCTCCCCACCCAAAATGTTGTATTATAAATTCACTATTTTAGTCTGTGTGAAAAATACAATCTTTCTATGAACTATTAATAGCTTTAAGTTATAGTCGTGTTAATGTATTTACACTTACAAATTACAGTTGTGTTAATCTGTATCAATTTATTTTGCTATATCTGTGTACATATGTATGGAAACAGTAGCAGTTATGATTCTCCAAGCTTCTTTAAAAAAAACTTGGTCCCACACAACTTTTGCAGCTGGAATGCTTCCAGCTGGGAAAAGTTTTATTCTGATATTTAAAAAATGGATATAGCGAGTGCATTTAATTTTTCAGTGAGATCTGAAGTGAAATTCAAAGAACAGTAATTATTTAAGTGATGAAAATGTGTTTTCAAACTTCAGGAAGGCATTCACAATAGAGTGTAGGGATTTCCTGTTTCAATCTAAAACTAGATGGTTGTTCTGTGACTTCTGCTAAAACTGTTTATTGTTTCTCGGACTTAAAATTTTCTGCTTCGATAGTCTTCTGAGGAAACTGTGAATTTAAAGCCTGATTTAACAGAACACTGAGGCATCTGAAAATAGAATGTAATAATGCATCTACATTGCTATTTCAGTGAAAACATTTGAATCTACCCATCTGGCATTAGGCACATGCGCAAATTGCCTACAAAGCTGATCCTAAAGTGATAAGCTACAAAAGTCTCTACTAAAGCTAAGGAAGTCAGAGTGTCTCCAAATATGTTTAACATGACCCTTAAATATAAATTTTGAGATCACTTTGAGCAGCTGTAATTGTTGCCAAACAGGAGTAATTTCAAGTTTATTTTCTTTCCTGTACACATATTAAATAGTCATCAATAAGCTCAAATTTCTAGATCATTTCATATCGTAGTTTTGAGATCTTGCATTTGAACATAACTTACAGAAATGCTGACAAGCTTGCTTGTTGATTGCTAAATTTGTAAGTGACTGATCTGTCATGCTTATAGCATATATGATAGCTCGAGTTTGATTTTTTTCTTTTAAGAAAAAAATCTTACCTAGGCCACAACATGGTAAAGACTTCTGCTTCATTCTAATCCTGTGAGTTTGTCCATTTGAACTTTGCACAGACACACTTACACAAACATATATGCTTAGTATGTCAATTTTAGTGTGAGTGAAGAGCTGAACCAAAACTTAAAAATACATTTGATGTGGAACTGGGATATTAAAAATTTATTTTCTCATTGGAATGCGAAAAAATGATGTTGACACTTTAGTTTTGTGAACAGTAAGAAGAGCAAATTAAGTGAAATACTAGAGGATGATGAGGGAATGGTAGCTGTGTTGTCTTTCTCACATGGACTACATCCCCCAGTAGACAGTGAGATATGGGAAACCAAAGTTAGAGCTCTCAAAATCTCAACAGTCAGAGAAATTATACATTTGTTATGGCTCAGCAGAGGGCCCTGTTTGTCTATAATTTATTTTGAAGGTTCTTTTCTCACTTCATCTTGTTGAAAAGATTACCCTCTACAGGGAATGAGTTGAGATTTGGAGAGAAGAGAATGACCTGCTAATGTGATGATGAGGGTGTTCCTGTAAGATATGTGGCCAGCAGGCCTTCTTGCAGTTAATTTGTCAAAAGTAGAGTGAGTATCTGGCCTCAGGGACTTCAACAAACTGATGGGGAGAGTTGGGTTCAGATCTTCTCAGCCAGCAGTTGCCAGTGTCCTGTACAAGTGCTCACGATGCTTAGCAAAGAGACAAAAGATACTAATGTTGGCACTGAGTTTTTCCAGTCAAAATTATTTAGTAGGTCTTTCAAGACGCTATTTATTTTTACAGTAAACAAACTTATTTCTAATAAGAAAAAATCATCTAGCTCTATGTACCTATATAAATAGCCTTGCTTTTCAGAAAGACTTTCTATTATCTTCCTGAGGTGCATGTAAATCCAATTTTATTTCGCGGTTCTGCTTGCTTATTTACAGTATATTGAACTCCACAGATTTTTACCTTTGTGAACTTAAGTTGACTGCTTTTTCCAAATGGACTGATAAAGATAATTGCCCTAGCTTGAAAAATCTTTAATGTATATTAGTAGAACTGCAGTACAGATAAGCATATTTTTTACTTGTCTGGGAAACCATATACCTAAGTCCAGGACGAGCCCTGTCTTTTTAGTTTTGGGGACTATAAGAGAAGTGACTCTTAATTATTTCCATGCCCCAAATGGTACAATAAAAACAAAAATCATACACTTTGTTAGGATAATTTAATGACAATATCTGGTACTTCCACAACAGAAAGGGTATGCAATGCTACCCTGCAAAATAGTTTTTGCTGAATCTATGCTAGCAGAGACTTGTCCATTTTGTCAGGGCGGGGTTCATGCTAAAATCCTTCTGTCTTATGATTTTTGCACAGTTGTTTTGAACCCTGCTACAAAGTGATCATGGAAACACTTTTGAAACAACAGCTAAAATAAACTTTATGCAAATTACATAAAATGTCTGTTCAGCATTTAGGGTGGACATCTTGAATTCAGAAGAGTAGCAACAGACACTGCTGCTTCTTTGCAGACAATAGTGATTCTTCATTACTCTAGGAGGATAGTGCAATAACCCTTAGTCGAAATGTGAACTTTCAGGAAATGAGTTGAGCCAATCTAAAGGTTACTGCTACAGAAAGGAGAAGGCCTCTTTCTCCTTTCATCCTTTTCCCTATTCCTGACCATGTGCTTCTGCAACTTATTTTGTACTGACTCTCATGCTCATCAGACTTTTTCCTCAATGACTGGGAGAAAACTAACTTGGGGTTTAAAAAGAAGAGAGTGTTTTTCTGCTGTGTTAATGAATTGAAACAGCTCACAGAAAAGGTCAAGGCATGGCATGAGGGCAATGGTGAGATGTGCATTTGACCTAGCTGTTTATGAAACCACAGCCAAAGAAAATACGGCTCAGCAGCATTTGAGAAACGAGAGAATCCTGTATAACAGATCCAGAGATGCCCTGGTGTGCACAGTTACAGATAATGCATGTATGTTTTCATGAGGCATGATGCTTACCGTGTCAAGCTCGACATTTTTCTTTTGTAAAGATACTTGTTCCATTATGGACTCTAATCAAGAAAAAGTATTTTTCACCTTGAAGGTGTTTGCATTTTCTTTCTTCAAAACAAAGTAGGTCTTTCAAAAACTCATGAAAGTCAATGGCAAAATTTTAAATCAGTCCTTAAGTATAGTTCTGGTTTAGGTTAAGAAATACATTTCTCTGGTCATCCTTCATAGTAAATGTTAAAAGAAAAATTTCTGGAGTACGACTGGGAGCAAGATGCCAGTTTGGTCTCACTGATTTGCCTTCCAGTGGTATCTCTGTCTTGTCATCAAATTTATAAAGGATATGGAAATGCCAGCTTGTGTAAATAGTTACCTGCCTTGCCCCTTAGCACATTGTAATGAATGTCTTGGGAGGAAAAAAAAAAAATCCTCCTAGAATTATCTTATGAAAACAATTTATGCTGTGACAGTCCATTTCCAGTATACCAGCTGCTTTAAAATGTAAAATTACAGCAAATTTTAGAGAAGAATGATGTGTATGTGTCTTGTTCTAAGTTAGTTTGTGGTATTTCTAAGTACCTTCTTCCAGTCAATTTTAAGAAATTTTTTTTTTTTTTTTTTTTTTTTTTTTTAAGAGAAGAGAGGGTCTTGAACATCTGCTATGTTAGCCTTGGGGGAACCTCCTGTCAACTTGCTATTAGCTTTTATTTCTTTTTTTATTTCTTTGTACTGTGCACAACTGTAGAACAGAATTGGAAAGCAAAAGCAAGTTTTGCTCTATGAAGTAGCCTAAATTGTCCCATAACAGAAAGTACCGGCCATGCGTAATGTAAACACATCGGTGCTAAGGAACCTATGCTGTCAATCTTGACAGCTCTGTTAAGTCAGTTTGAGAAGTGAATTTTCTGCACATAGAGATTTCACTTCCACAGTTCTTTTAAGTGCATTTGTTATGGTAATTATCATGAGTAGGAATAGTTAGTTACCTCTGCTACTCTGCTGCATTTGATTTATTTAACAGATACTAGATCCCATTGAAGCTCTGTGGCATAAAGTATAATGGCGTGCAGCTTGCTTTGCCAACCAAAATGCCGGCCTGTGTGGCAGTGTCTTTCCTGTACCTGAACTGTACCAAATCCTAGATGTGCCTTGACTGTTTGTTTCTGCCTTCCATCTTACTTCTGACACATAATTGCAACAAGTAATCCAGGGGACTTCCATCAGGTGGTTGTGTTGTGTAAACAGGATTATGTCTTCTGTCAAGTAAATCCTCTTGCAAAATACAAAGCGCTTGGCTTTAGAGTTCTTTGCCTGAAAAATACATACAGAAACTGAAATGCTTGAACGCAAATGGGAGTGAATTTCTGTTTCTCGTGTCAGTACGGCCAATTTCTGCCTGTGTGCAAGGAGCAGGGGAAAGTGTGCCAGACACTGCCCTTGGTGAGGCACAGTGAAGAATCTTTTAAAAATCAGTGCATTAAAAGAATGCAGGTAGGAGCTGTATGAGAGACAGAACTTAAATCCAGTGCAGTTTAGCATGTACCTGTTCTGTTTTTTGCAGTTCTTTTATACTCAGGGGAGCCAGAATCCTATCTTGGTTGCAGAGTATAAATCTGGTGTGTATCTGTTTGCTTCTCAGGAACTTTGCTGGCTGGCAAGGATCATTCCTTCAGCTTTCAATTGCCTGAGTTATCTGATCTTAGATGAATTTCAGCACTTGTTTATAGCATGCAGGAACGTCTTGCCAGCAGCTAGCTTAGCGTTTCAGATTTTATAGTGTGCTCTGTGCTGCTCTGGTTGTGAGGCGTTAAGGTTTTCAGAGTGTGCTCTGGAGTTGTGCAGCTTATCTATACAGGTGAGCATTACGCTGCTTTCTTATTTTACAGTTAACATAGGCACAAATCTGTTCATCAGGTGTATGCAAAGGGCTGTTCAAATTGGCATTGCAATGGGAAGTTCTGTCCTTTTCCGTGGCTTAACTATATAATGGGTAAATGATGAATTGCAGGGCTGTAATTCACTCTCTGCTACTGACTTGCACCATTTCATGGTGATTACACATGTACATTGCTCTCAGCTGTGTTTTCAGTTAAGCAAATATCTTATTTCTACCACAGCTGACACACAGCACTTGAAAAGTACAGTCCTCATTAGTGGTGGTTCTTGCTGAATTTTGCTTCCCAGGTAGGTAGCTCGGTTGGTCTGTCTGTGTCTCTCAAGTATTTTAATAAGGGTGAAAAGTATGAAATTTTTTGAGTGTTGTGTTTTGTACAGTGCACAAATGCAAAATAGGATCTTTGGGGGTTTTTTTCCCCCCAATTGACTAAAATCTTACTTATGGTTTCTCAATCAGTGTATGGCATGATTGTTTCTTCTGGTTTGTGGAGTGCTGAATATCCTGGAATTTTCTGCGCTTGCAGCTGACAGCCTAGAATAGTGTAGTGTCCTCTTTCTAAGCTGTTTTCTGTCATGTTAAATTTTATAAGCAACTTTGTAAGAATTATTACTTACAAGACAACAAAATGGAAAAGTGAGATATACAGCACATGCTTCAGTTTCACTGGGAATATTGAAAAGCATGATTAAATACTTTAAAAGTATACAGTGTGAATTTTAAAAATAAAGTTGTGTTTGGAAATAGTTTGCAGTTCATTGATCTGTCTGGTAAATGCATATTGCAGCTTCTGCATGACTCATCTTTGTAATTATTCTACTCTAAAGTAGCTTTTTTCCTTAATTTTTAAAGTTAAAAGTTGATTAAAAAAACCCAACTTTGATAAACTAAATTACAGTACATTTTTAAATTAAAAACAAGTGTCTTGTTTATAAACAGGATTCACTAGAATATGTTTTATTTCTGTTCTGTATTTCAGCTCTTTAAGGTCCTCATAAAGCTTCTGCAGCCTAAATTACCATTTTGCCTGTCTTATATTATCTTTTTTTGCTTTAGAACCAATAACATAAATTTGTATTTTCTTTTCTTACAATTGCATATTTATTCTGGCTGAATTCAAGTTGCATCATACCACTGAAATACACTATAATTTCTCTGTAACAAAATGGGTCACATTCTTAATGAGCTGTTCACTGCGAGCATCTGCTTGAAGATGAAAATAATTGCTTCCAGATGTTAGCATTTCAAGAGGGGACATTTACTTTAAAGGGCACTTTCTTTCAAAGCAAAAGTTAGACTCTCTAGATGCAAGAGAAATTGTCAGCTGTTTTAAATCAGTGTAGCTCCATTGAAAACAAACTGGGGATAGTTAGCTATTTTGTCTATTTTAAGGCAAGAGTTTTATGCCAGTTTACACTAGCTGAGGATATGATTCTCCAGCTTCAGAGAAAACTATGAAATTTTGAGTTGATTAAAAAAAAGTCAGCTGCCTTCATGCTTACTTATACCAGGTAGCACCTTAGTGTTCCTATGGAGCTACTGAACTCTGAATGAGAGGAGTGAGGTATTGCTCTCCATTGCATACCAGAGCGTACTTTGGGAGTCCATAGAAAAAGTAAGGAGTAATGCCAGATGGTGCACTCAAAGGAGATCTTGTGTTAAAAATCTCTAGAGGGATGCCATGT